TTCCCCCTGGACCATATCAGGTTAGAGTCTATACTTTAACAAGGGCCCTAGATGATTCCCATGCATTCAGTGTGTGAGAAGTACTGCTCCTCTAACCAAAGTACAAACATCCTCCATACTTTTTCTTTATCTTGTCCATCCCACTACCTCTGTGCATCCTTCACAGATGCCCATTCATTCATGCGATCCTCTCATGTTCATGTTCAATGTTATATCACCCATGGGACCTTTCCCAGTCATACCATGGACCAGGGAATCCAGCCTTCAGACTGTCTACAAATTCCTTATGACCAAATTTTCCATTCTAGATGACAACTTTATTATAACCCTTTGACTTTGTCTTTTTGGCTGTAGAGGATTGTTCCTTGGCTGGGAAAGCAACCCTAAGAGTAATCTATCCAGAGGCTGGCCAACTAACTTCTCTCTCTTCATTTTTATAAAATCAGAAAGAGTAATTATCACTGATTGCTAAAAGTGTCTACTAGGGGATGGTCAATGTCATGAGATGTCATGTAAGCCATGTGATTCAGAAACAGAAATCTTGAGGACTCCAAGTCAGGGAAGACAGGAAGACAGACAACATGCTGATGTGGCCAGCAGAGAAGCTGTAGGAAGCAGAGGCTCAGAGCATAGCATGATTCCATACCTGCCCAAGTTCCTGATGACTTTTCCTGACTACCTACCTCTTCAGGGATGCAATCCTCAGTCTTGTTGGCTGTTTCTCACTTGGGCTACTATAATCCCAGCTATTAACAGATGGTCAGACGGTGTCCTCGTCTCTGCATCTCTACAGTATGTGCTTTAGAACAGTAGGGGAATGGGCTGGAATTGAATTCCAAGGAAGCAAAACATCCCAGTGAAGAGATCTTGATAATAAAGAAGGCTTTATTATCTCTAATAAGGGCAACGGAGTGGTAGAGTGCCCAGCACCTAGTAGATGTCTCTGGTGTATTGTGCCAACTAAGTCAAAGAGCCACAAGCCAGCATATATTTTTAATACAACCTATTCAGTGTCACGGCAGCGAAACTCGTAATTCCTCTCTCTCAGGAACCTGATCTCAGGCAACATTGTTTCAACAGTACAATGATTTCTTGTAGCAAGTTGATTCTACCAAACGTGTTTCCAGGTGGTCAGCAATCTTCCTGCTTAACCTTTAATCTCCTCTAGGTGGCTTTTAAATATTAAAGGACAAGGGATGTTCATGGAATGATGGATCGCTGCAGATTGTGTGGAGGCAGCTTCATTGCTGCTGTTGGGAAAGCTGCCTCTCCACAAGGGTCGGTGTCAGCCTGTGTGTTTGTGGACTTGGAGAGATCTGCAAGAGAAACATGCATGCAGAGAAGTGAGCCTGATCATGCATGCTTTTCTTTCAGTGTGGGGTATCAAGCTGAATCTGATAATTGTCATTATGCTGGTTTGGAAGGAAGGCAGACACAGAGCCCTGATATTACAAGTGCCTGGGGATTTCTTTCCCTTCTCTTAACTCCCTCTTGGAAAACACCGCCCTCCAGATCCAGAGGTTTCATCTGCTTTTAAGCTGGAGGCTTCTTCTTTAATGGGCTTGTGACTCACAGGGCCTGGATGATGGTTGCTTTTTCTGCGTATAGAACTATAATCCTTCTCAATTATCAAAGACATAAATTACTATTATTTCCTTACCAGATCGAACATCTCGCTTAAATATGTGAAAGAAAAATTGTTGGTTGTCTGGTGAATTCTCTTCTTGGAAAAACTGCCTATTCTTAAGCTACAAGTTCAATGAAAGTTCAAAAGTTTATCAGTGCAAACTCTATAGTCTAATAATTCATCGACCGGCTTCTAGAGCCACATCAGGGGACTCTGGGTTGAGACATTTGTGTCTCCCCTCCTGTGTAAAAGTCATCAAACAGCACGTTTCCTGGGCATATCACAAATACCTATTGATCACAATCAGAACCCAGATGGTGTGAAAGAACCTGGCTGACACACAGTCCCTGGTGTCAATCACAGCAACAAATTGATTTTGACTGTTCGGCTACGTTTCTCCTACCCAAGCAGAATTCCATTCCCTGCTGCTGTTTGAAGCATTTTGAACAGACAGCATATCCGAAGGAATGCTACAATCCAAAGTTATTGTGGAGCTAAGCTTGACTATCAAGAAAATGATGATTTTTAATGTACTCCATCAAAAAGGCGGCGCCTTTCTCTGGCGCTGAAAGAGCTCTCATTAATTTCAAAATTTACCCTGCTTTGTGTGTGCTAATTAGGGACAAGGAAAAGTCTGATTTACATTTTTTCCCCCTCTGTGACAGTATGAACCGCTAATTAACAGTATCAATACTTTTCTCCGACGAGGATTTGTTTTCTTGCTCACTTTTGGGATTAGTGATTTTCATTGGAAGTCTGAAAGCACTTACACTTACGCCATCTGTCTTTCCCTTATAACACGGTCCTAGAGCTCCGTGCTGGAGCCCAGTGTAGGGAGAGAGGCCAGGAGCCCCCATTACTATTATAAGCATTATAAGCCTCTGTGGGAGCCAGATAAGAAAGGGTCCTCTTTGATATTATCCATCACTGGGCCTTACTTTACTGCTTCATACATCAAAGCTGCCAGGACAAATTCAATGGGAAGTGGACCTGGCTCGATCAGGGAAGGGTTTGGGAATCGGAGTGAAGGATAGCTTGGGATCCAAACTGTTCTGCTTATCTGGGTCTCCAGAGCCAGGCTGGCATGCTTTCCACGCGGTATGTCGTTCTTGTCACTTATCTAGCCCATGCCTTTTCTATCCAGTGAATTCCCACCTACATTCTCTCAGTGATGGCGGGAGGAGCCAGGTGATGCTTTTAGGTTACTCTTCCCTGAACATCTAAGCCTGCCTCTCAGACATCATTGACCGCGCCAAGAACGGACACTTGACTCCGAGGAAAGCAGTCCAGAGATAAGTCTAATCCAGTCAGATGTCCCCTCCCAGCCTCCAGTCTTCTTGGAATGGAAAGCATATGAAGACGCGTGTGTTCTGATGAGTCAGCGAAGAGAGTTCACCCGTGCAAAAGGGCAGGCATGAGATCAAAGTCGGAAAAGTGATGGAAGATGTCAGGCACCCGTCAGGATCTGAGGGCAGCCCTGGCTCTGGGTTTACAGTGCCAGGCATGTCAGACTCCCATGAAGCCAGCTCATTACTGCTAAGGATACTCTCATGTCTGCCTACTGTAGTCTTTGTTTTTATGGCAATGGCCTGAATGAGCTTATGTCCTTTACAATCACAGCAGAGTGTCTTGTCAGGGAGCTTCTGATGACAATGGCAGTGTCCCTTCTCTGCCTAGTCCACTGCCTGGGAACCCTGCAAGATTATGACACTTGCCTTTTCCTAATAAGACAGTTTCACAGCCTTCGAGCAAAATCCCGATGTGTTCAGTCTTTCTGTCTTCCCTTCAAAGGCCATGCTTCTTCTTATGATCACCTTTTCTCTCTAGTTCTGACCATCTCACTGAGTCATTCTACTGTATTTTTTTTTTTTACTGTGACAGATTACACTTAAAAGCACACACAATTTTCTATTGTTCTCATTGAGGAACTAAGTCTAACTCCTGTTCCCTGGAACATGGACTGACCCTTGTGACCTGCTGGAATGTTCGAGTGCAGTTGAAGTGACATTTGGCTTTACTAAGGTCATAGGAAACCTTGCACCTTTTGCTCATGCCTCTGGGGACACTGTCCTGGAAAACTAAGCTGTCTTATAAAAAAGAAAAATTGTAGAGTCCCACCAAGTGGTCATGCTATGAGAAACCTGAAACATGGTGGATCAGATGACAAAGAGCAGAGAGGAGAAGAGAGAAAGGGAGAGGGGAGAGAGAAAAGCGAGGAAGAAAGGGAAGGAGGGAAGAAGAAAAGGAGGAAGAGAAGAAAAGAAAGAGCGATCAGGTAGAGGCAACCACATGTAGGAGATGTCTTGCAAATGACCCCTCCAGCTCCAGATGACAACTTGAGAAATCAGGCAACCAGAATATTCCTAGTCATCCAAGGGACTCAGCCTTCTTGCCTTTCCTCCTCCTGCCCATGGATGCCCCCATCCTTCTCCTCCGCCTCTGACCACTCGTATCCTTCTTCTGTCACATGTTTGGCCGAAGCTGCTCTGAGGACCATGTCATCTGTTTTCTCTCATGCCCTAAAGCCACAGGACAGATCCTGTTCCTTATCTCCCCTTTCAGTCTCTGGGCATCGTGGCAGAGCCCTGGGTTGAGTGGACCCGGTGTGAGTTGATGCTCCTAAACCTCATTACTTTAAACCAAAGAGATACTGGCATTTGTAAAAAACTTTGTCCTCGGTTACACAGTTTTGATTGGGTATTTCTGATTTTTCAAAAGTCTCGTTTCTAGACTGGGTTTGAGTATAGGCTTTCCATTTTTAGGATGGTTGAGGAAAAGGACCGCTAGGAGCTCACAAAGAAATCTGAGGTAGCTGTCTGTCGTGGTGTGCATCTGTAATCATAGCACCTGGCATACTGAAGTAGGAGTATCAAGGGTTCAAGATCGCAGGGAGACCTCATATCACAACAAAAGCAAAAATTAAGAACCAACCATAAAGGGAATTCCACACGGCATACACAAGAGGCTTGTTTGCTTGTCTGTACAAGCCTTTATCATTTATGGGCAACCAGATGCGGACTCTAGGTTTGTAGGTTAGTTCTAACTAAGATGAGGAGTGTCTTTTAGCTGCATCATCTTTTGATAAAACCTCCCGACCCTCTAAAACCCCATGTTCCTAGAACATTCTCTCTCTCTCTCTCTCTCTCTCTCTCTCTCTCTCTCTCTCTCTGTCTCTCTCTCTCTCTCTCTCTCTCATCTCTCTCTCCATTTCCATGGACCCTTTGGCTCCCCTTCCATATGCAGCATTCTTCCTTGGAGTGCTCAGAAAGCTCATTAGAGTCCAGCCTCCTCAATTAGGCAGAATAAACATGCATTACTCTGAACACAGCAGAAACAGACGGAGTTCAAGCAAAGTGTCGGCCCGGCACCTAGGGATTTGACAAGAAGTTTATTTCCTTTCCATCAAATTCAGCTCACATCCTCCTGTATCTTTCTATATAAGTAATTAAACTCTTATCTCCAGTTTTCAAAGGCTCACCGCTCTCTCTTCTGTACGTATCCATTTCCTCTTCATTCACGGCATATACTTATCTATCATTGTATGTGTACCATTCATTTGTGGGATCATCTGCTGGTAGATTTTCCCATTTTCCCTGGTCTCACAATCACAAGATCAGCAATATGAATAGCAGGGGAGCTAAGCTGAGAAGCTGAGGTCTTCTGTAATAGAGCAAAGTAGGACACATTTTAAATGTTCAGATTCTCAAACAATTAATATATATATATGTATATATACATATATGCACTGTATATATATATACACACCTCACTTCTCCCTGGTAATTGTAATTGTATAAATCCTAACTGTTCCCAGGCACATGGGCTACAGGGAACATTCACCACCTTCTTCTATTCATGCTCAGAGGTCGTGACTAAGATAAATAGATTTCAGAGAAGCCGTGGTGTGGGTGTGCTCCCAGTGGGAGGAATTTCATGTTCCAGTCTCCTCTGCCGAACACCTAGACTATTAGAGACTTTGCAAAGTTTGCACTTGATTCTTCACGGGAGGATGTGACTAAGGCCAGAGTGTGATCGATCTCTGACAGGACAGTGTGAAGGCACACGGCCCTGGAGTGAAAAGTTCAAATGCAGGCTAGGCATGCTGGGGAGGACGAGGCAGCTGAAGGCTTCTCCGGAGCAGCTTTTGCAGAAGTCGTGACTGCTAACCCACATTTCAGGCAGAAACACGCTGGACTGCCTTCTCCCGTGATGCCCGTTGTTCCAGCACACACGTGTATGTATACACACACAGCACACTTACATGTACCCCCTACTCAATCTGTTGATAAGTATTTCTTCCTCCTCATCATGATGCCGAATTGTGGACACTGTCTTCAGTTCCTTAGCAACAACCTGTCATGGCACCCTCGCAAAGTCACGGTCAGCTGAAAGAAGAGAGAGTGTGTTGGGATGGGGAAAATCCTGATTTAATCACAAATATGTGTAAAAAGTGGAAGGGCTGGATGAAGAGGCCGGTCCAGAGAGCTGCAGCGGAACACGTGTTTTTGATTAAGGTTCATGTGAGCACAGAAGTCCCCTGTAAGTTCTTTCTTATTGAATAATTTCTCTTTGATCCCTAAGTAACTAAATGAAAAACCGGGACTTGCCATTAGCCTGGTACCTGGAGCCCAGTGGTAGGAATCCTTTGCTTGATTGCTGAGGCAAGGGCATTGCCAGATGAGGGCCTTGCCGCTGAGGTGGAGGGCGTCCTGCTTTATTTCCCAGTTGGTCTTTCCACCCATCATTGGATGGACAATGAACAGTGAAGCAATCATCCCACACCTAACATGGAGCTTTCTCTTCCTTGTGATTGACTTCAAAGATGATGCTCAGCCGATCAATATTGGGGACATGCGAGGTGTTGGTTACCTCAAGACTCATGATCCAAAGAAAGGACAGAGACAGACACTTGGGACCTTGACAATTAAGAATGCCTTTCCTTTTCTTGTCCCATCTGTTAGAAATGAAGTAGAGATGATTTCTTTATATTTGGCTTTGTGGACCATACTAAATTATGGTGTCACTCAAAGCCCCAGATTCCGTCCAAAGTACCAAACCCTAGAACCAGTTAATTGAAATGGTAAGAAAATCGGGGGTGGGGGACGCACTGAAGAATTCTTTTTGAAAGAGGAAGAAAAAGAGGGAAGAAAGGTGAGAGATACACACACACATACACACACACACACAGTGAGAGAGACAGAGAGACAGAGAGACAGAGACAGAGACAGAGAGCAAGAAAGCAAAGATTAAACAGCTCTGAGTGTTAAAACAACAACAACTGAAACAATGAAATTCACCCCGAATTCCCGGTTTCCATATTTAAATGTCTGATCAGTCATTCAGTTCCAGGGGAGACATGGTGTTTGAAGGCCACTTTGTAGCGCTTTCACCCTGGTTCCGATTATTTGAGATCCAGGGGGAAAATGTGCATTCTCTGCGAAAGCAAATAGAAAACATATCTGAGCACAAATCGGAAGAATGATTACCACACTCACGCTCTGTACCCATTACTGGGTCCCCAAGGCTCTCGTTCTGTTTGCTTTGGCACTTTTTCTTTAGCGGGGCCATGGTCGGACTCGGTGGGAGAAACAACAACAGCCCACAAAACCCTCAGCAGAGAACAGAGGGCGGCAGAAATGGATGGGTTGAAAGGATGCTGCCAGCTTCCTTGTGGGGAAGCTGCCGGGGGGAGGTCTCCTTAGACTCCCATGGAGGTCTTTTCTGTGTGTTTGTCAGGACATGCCTGGCCATCTGCAGGAGGGGGGCATCTCCGTTCTCATCTCAATCTCCAGAAGGGTCCCATTCAGGGGATAATGAAAAATGGCATTTCCACAAAGTGGAGAGAAAAACGCATTGTTTCTCTAGCGCATTGTGCTCCGCGCTGCTCAGGAGACAACTCTTCACAGCCCGTACAAAGAATTATCCATCTAACTTAGTGTGCGTGGCGGAAAAGTTGCAATGTGTCTTTCAACGGGCTGTCTCCACATGGTAAAGCCACTGTCTCTCCCGCTCCCACCAACAGAATAGCGGCTGCTTATAAGCAAAACCCACTCAAGAGCTTCATGATGACCCGGAATAAACACCTGACAGTCAGCAGCTCTCAAGCTCTCCTGTGTTTAGGCATGAATTGTTCATTTCTATGCCTTTTGTATCCGGCCTGAAGGAAAGACAAATGAAACAAGGCATGATTTACATTATCAATGGAGGCAGAGGGTATGCCTGTGTTTATCTGATCCCCTTTTATTGTGTAACACAGCGGGTGAGATAACCAGCCTCCCGCACAATGACCATTCAGTGGGAGCCACCCACCCTCTCCATTTCCCTGTTGACTTTAATTCTGAAATAGATTTTAAGAGCGCAGCCTATGTAGTAACACAAGGCTTCTTCGGTTCAGGCGTGTGGGAGAAAAGATGGTGTTCTCACTTAGTGTCAGGTTTTGCCTCATTTGTGTCTCCACAGAGCCTGCAGGAAGTTTTCCCTCTGACTCACAGCAGAATCAGGTACTGCACTTCACTCGGGTGGGGAGGATGCTCAGCTTAAGCTGACTTTGAAGTCTTTGCAAAGTGCCAGAAACTTGGAACCAATTAACCAGGTGTGAGGAAACATGGTGTGTGTGCATGGTCGTAGAGACTAGGAAAGCTTGCTTTCTCTCTACCAAAAGCCGGTTTTCTCAGTCTAGCCTGGAGGAGGAGGGCTTGTGACACCCTCTGTAGGCCTTTAGGGCATGCACCACATTTGCATCTGATCCAAGACTAATTCTGTAAGTTTCCCCCTCAAAATGAAGAGTACCTATTCTCATTCATCAGGAGTCGGTAGGGGGGAAGCACAGAGTGGAAAAACAAGAAAAGAGATATCTTGATTGAGGGAACCATTATGGGACTAGCAAGAAACCTGGCACTAGAGTAATTCCCGGGAATCCATAAGGACGAACCCAGCTGAGACCCTAAGCAATAGTGGAGAGGGTGCCTCAACTGGCCTTGCCTGTAGTCAGTTTGATGACTATCTTAAATGTCATCATAGAACCTACATCAGCAACTAAAGCTGCTGTGGATACAGAGATCCACAGTGGAGCACTGGACTGAACTCTCAAAGTCCAGTCAAAGAGAGAGAGGAGTGATAATATGAGCAAAGGGGTCAAGACCATGATGGAGATACCCACTGAAACAGCTGACCTGAGCTAATAGGAGCTCCCCTACTCTGGCCTGACAGGAGAACCAGCATAGGACCAAACTAGGCCCTCTGAATGTGGGTGACAGCTGTATGGACAGGGCAGTCTTTGGGGCCACTGGCAGTGAGACCAGGATTTACTCCTATTGCTTGTACTGACTTTCTTGAACCCATTCTCTTTGGAGGGATACCTTGCTCAGCCTAGATATAGTGGGGAGGGCTTGGTCCTGCTTCAAAGCAAAGTGCTAGACTTTGGTGACTTCCCATGGAAAACCTTATCCTCTCTGAAGAGTGGATGGGAGTGAAGTGGGGGGTAGAAGGTCGAGGGAGCAGCAGGAGGGGAGGGAGTGGAAAATGGGATTAGTATGTAAAATGAGAAAAGAAAGTTTAAAAAAATAAATAATTAAAAAAGTAATACTATAGCCCAGGAGGGTTGAAACTCATTCTGTAGCCAAAATTGGCCTCAGATTTGCAGTGATCTGTAGATAGAAGTTTCTGTCTTGCCTGCACCCACAGGGGTTCGGTCCTGAGGAAACACACAGAGGTTTATATTAATTATAAACTGGTGGGCCCATTAGCTCAGGCTGATTTTTAACTAGCTCTTACAATTTAAATTAACCCATAATTCTTGTCTATGTTTAGCCATGTGGCTTGATACCTCTTCACAGTAAGGCATTCTCATCTTGCTCCTCTGCATCTTCCTGGTGACTGTGTCTCTCTGCCTTTTTTCTTCCCAGAATTCTTTGTCTGGTCACTCTGCTTATACTACCTGCCTGGCTACTGGTCAATCAGTGTTTTATTAAACTAATACGAGTGACAAATCTTTACAGTGTGCAAGAGCATTATTCCGTAGCAGTGATTCTCTTGCTTCAGTCTGCTAAGTTCAGCATTATAGGAAAAGGCCACTGCGCCTGGTGTATAGACAGCTTTGTGTGGCATGGACTTCTAATTAATAAGTGGGAACTGCTCTTCTTTTATTTGTGTGTCCTTTGCTTTCTGTCATCAGCGTTTGTGGGTTCTAGTGTACAGGTCTTCCATTTCCTTGGTGACATTTCTTTCTAAGTATTTTATTTTATTTTATTTTTTGGTGTTACTGTAAGAGGGTAGCTTATTATGTTTCTTTCTGGATAGTTAGTGTACAGAAATAGAACTGAATTTTGTATGTTGTTTTTATATCCTTCAGCTTCCCTGAAATAATTAACTCTTTGTTATCTTAGTAGCATCTTTAGGGGATTCTACTCATAAGATTGTATCATCTGGAGAGGTAATTTTAGTTTTTCCATTACTTGGTGGATGTCCTTTGCTTCTTTCTTCTGACGAACTGCTTTTTGTAGGGCTTCTGGTTTTTGGTGGAATAAAAGCAGTGGAAATCCTGGGCATGCTGGCTTAGGACGTCAGCATGGAAGAAAAGCTCTGGTTTGTCACGGGTGACTAGGGTGTTAGTTGTGGGTTTCCATATTTGGCCTTTGTTGTAAGAGGTAAAGTTCTTTTATCTCTACCATGTTACTATTTTTAGACACACAATGGTGTTGAATTTTGTCAACTGCCTTCTGACATCTACTGAAATGGTAGTGTGATTTTGGCCTTGATTCTTTTAACATATATCTCATGTTGCTTTATCTTTGTTGACTCATCCTTGTACCCAAAAGGTGAGTCCCACTTGGTCATGGTGTATGATACTGGACTTCTACCTGCAAAACAAGGACTATTGTATTATATTCTTCCCACCCCACACAAAAACCAGTGCACATTGGATTAAAATTCTTAAATGCAAGACCTGAAAGGATAAAATTTCTGAAAGAAAAGGGAGAAAAGTTATAACATTAGTTACAACAACGGAACAAGCCATGAAAACAAATACAGACATGGATGACTACATCATATTAAAGGCCTTCTGTATAATAAGAGAGCTAAACAACAACCTACGGAGTGGGAGAAACTATTTTCTGCCTGCCTATATGATAAGGAATCCCTACAACCCAACAGCTAAACAAACATAAGCAACAATCAAATAGCTTATTTTAAAAATGCCCAATGAGCTAGAGTAGACATTCCTCAAAAGAAGACACACAAACGACCCCCTAGCTATGAAAAGATACTCAAGATTATGGCCATTAGGAAAATGCAATTCAAAACCACCATGGAATCAATACACCCAGACAAGAAAATAGACTCAGTGGATTGCATGTACATATTTGTACATATATACATATTTGTA